TGGTTACAAGTGGCTGCCATGTTGCATAGCGTGAATTCTCAATGTTTCTGTTAACAATATGCATGATTTAGAAGTTTCATCCTCCTACGAAGAAAGAGATCAATCTCTCAACCTCTGTCTTTCTGAGGAAAAACAGCTCTCACTGTGATTTACAAAAGTAGCCTCAAACTTCCTCTTCTACAGTCAGTGCCTTTGTAACAAACGAAGCGTTTTACTTGGCCAACTTTCTTTCATTTTTTTCCACACATACACACATATGGTATGTGTTTGTTATTCTAGCCAGTTATTTCTGCCGTCAACAGCCTGACACATCGTGCGCCTGTAAATCAGAACCTGACTGTGTAGGAAACAGCTGGTGGGCTGCCTGACCTTTTAATTAAGGTCAGGCTGCCCACCAACTAACACGACAAAAAGTATCAGAAAGTTGAGCGTCACTCAAATGTTCAGTGAGGGTGTGTGTGATTACAGAGTCAAAGAAAGAAGATGACATCAGATTTTACTCTGGGCTTCAGACTTCACATTTAAATTCCCACATTATGGGGTGTGGTAACACTTTTTGCATAGATTATTTTTTGATCATTGTCGGGCTTTCGAAATCCAAGAATCTCCAGACAACCAATGTCGCAGCTCGTGCCCTTTTTTGGAACGAGTTCCTCCTCCTCTTCCTCATGTTGGGTGGATCGGGCTGCCTCCGTTTGCTTGGTACTACCACTAATTTCCGTGTCCACCATGACCACCACCAGTGAAGCTGTTTCTTCTTTGTTGAAACTATGCCAAGTAGTCTGCTGGACACGCTGGTGATTATAGGGAGCACACCCAAACCTGACCAACCAAAGGGAGCGAAAAAACTCTGCATGACACGCTGGTGAATATACGGAAACGCACCCAAACAGATGCGCTCCGGCTTTCCTGTTAGCAAGAGCAGACAACTACACACCGACTCAGAGAGATGCAGCAGACATCTGCTCTCTCTTTCTAGTATAAACAGTACAGCAAAATTTCTAACGGTAGACACTTTTATACCGTCACACAGTATATACTGTCATACCGCCCAAAACTAGATTGAACCATTTGGAACCGGTTATCAACAAGAACCAGTTCTCAATTCCCATCCAAACCTCTGGGTATGACCACTGCTTCTGAAACTGAGTCTTTGCCGGACCTGCCAAGCTGTACAGAGTTTGTGAATGAGATGTCTGTGACAGGTGAGAGGTCCCCTGCTAGGTTTGGGTTTAATGGTATCTCATCAGTATGATGTCATTGAGGGAGATCTGTCAGGATTAATGACCTTATCATTGGCTGAAATGTGGCATCTGCACTCTAGGTGCCCAACAAATATCATCCTGCAGAGACCTAAACATGTACCTGTCATCCTGTCTGTCATCCACAGTTTGTCAGTTTTTTACAGGTTTAGCAGCCATGTCCCACTCGCCTCTGAGTCTGTAATGTATCTCAGCAATATGGGAGGATCGATTAAACTCTCCTCTGTTCTGATGACAACTCATGTTACCATTACCTGTTCTCTATGTGTGTGAAACATCCTTCATGATTCAAAACTGTTCAGACAAATTAAAGTGACAACAATTTCTGCTAAACCAGTATGCTGTGACTGTGACTCATGACAGCTTGGGCTTGTTTGGTCACAGCTTGCACACATGGCTGCATAATGGCTGTGAGTTTTGCTGCTGTCAGCCCCGTGTCTTCCAGAAGCTCAACCCAAAATAGGACCATGAATACCTGTTATTAAACTGTCACAGGATTTATTTTTAAAAAATGTTTCTTTAAAAGACAAAAGAGGTTTCAGATCTGCTGTGTAAATTATAGTCAAAAATACCTTTTTAAATATACCAATAAAGGTGGGTTTTTTTGTGTGTTTTTTTGGGGGGGTGTCAGGGGCTTTTATTAAAAACGGATCTCTAATTTTTATTTCAAATGCCCGAGTACCCGAGGCTTTGTGCTCAGACTGAAAAACTTGAGAGAGAGAGAGAGAGAAAGAGAGAGTAAAAAGGATTGTGGTTGAATACATCTCTCATAATTTGTTATTTGATTAATCACATAATGTAGAGCATAATGAATAACTGCTGCATTGTGTTTACCTTTATGATAAGTGAGGATGCTCTCAGGTGTAATAATAGTAAACGGGGGGTTAATATCAAAAATAAATTATCATATTTAAACTTGAAAAGGGTGCTCAACACACAACCTGATATACGGATTTAATAATAAAAAGAGCTTGCCTGCAGCCAGTACAACTTTTTCTTCCACGCAAGTCACTTTTTTTTAAACCAATAACTATCCTGATGCAGCTTCAGGACAAAAGCGTTGTGTTTAATCAAGAGGAGTTTCTACAACAAAAACATAAATAAAATAAATTAAGGATAAAAACAGATCTGGCTTTTGCTTTAAAATGCATTCAGGAAGAGCTGTCACAGAATTTTGCTTGCTGGATGGTTAAAAAAATGCTGCTGTATCAATAAAGAAAGTGGTGAGTTTGTGCAATTAAGTGATGTTTTTAGGCTGTAAATAAAAGTTTTCTTTAGGGACTAGGCTGCATCTTTTTGTACTTTTAATAATAAACTTTAGGAAAGACTTTAGGAAAGTTGTATTTTAGTGTACCAACTTTCATTACCAAACAATGTGTTCGGTGCAGAATCACTTAACACAGCTGGCTCACATAGATACTCTCCATTTGCATTGTAATCGATGTGGAGAGGGAGTTTCGATTCTTACATTACACAATCAGTCATTAAGAGTTAAAGAGGAGTTCATAAAAAAGAGAGTATAAAATAGAAAGTAAATAAAAGTTTATGGAACAGCAAAATTAAAGGATCAGTGGTTTAATTTTGGATAGGATTGTAAAACATTACATTGTGACTACAGCAGTGTCTAACTGAGGTTATGACCAGCCTCCTGAAACCCCCCCATAACCCCCACGTCTGATATGGAGACTTTATGCTGAGAGGATGTATGTGTCAAAGAGTACATTCAGGTGTATTAACCAAGTTTCACACTTTGGGAACCACTGCATTACAGCTTAACTGATGATAATGATAGAGAAAAAAAAGAAATACAGTGATTTGATTCTGTCTTTAACCATTACCACTGATTGATCTAATCCTCAGTACACTTTCATCTTACAAATACCGAGTAATGACTTTGGGTACAGTCACTTTTTTGGCAGTGAACAAAGAGGAACAAGTTACAAGGAATGTTAAATCCAACTAAATCCCTAATTAAACCAAAAGAGACAGTGGTTTGATATTGTATCCTGTCAGTTTTTTCCATTTGACTTCTTCGTAGCTTCTTCTCACTAAGTCTTTGATAGTCAGAGAATGAAATTGGCTTACCATAGGGGTGTTAATCCCATAAAGCTGTGCAGATGTTGTGGTACAGAGGTCCGTTCCCAGCTGAGATTGTTGTTCATACTGGATGAGAAAGGAATTCTCCAAAAGTTACAAGTTTTAAAAAAAAAAGATTTCCACTGGTGTCACTGCAAAGCTGTGTGAATAGTCACTTAAGGGGAAGGGAACACACTGTTATTCCCGGGGCATTTTTGGATTGTTGTGGTTACTAGTTGGCTGCAGCACCCACATCATTAAAGTAACATTTGAGCTTTCGCTGGGAAGAGAGCCTAGGACTGCCCATTGCCAGAGAAAAGCTAAAAGTGTTAGAGCAAAGATTAGTGTTGAGAAAATTGCCTGAAAGCCTTAAAAATGTCTCTGTGGTGTTTGGGATCTAGGTGTGGAAATTGTAGATTAGTTCCCACTACCAGGCCCTTCACTGTCTGTATTCTTCTCTAAACCCACAGAGAGACATCAGAGGAGTTTTGAAGGTTTAGTGAACTCTGAACCTCACCCCAAAGGCTATCCCTGCTGAGAAACTCTGCAAGTGCTCAGAGGAAGTTCAAAGGTGATCTCGCTGCTAACTCTATCCGCTCATGTGAAATGGTTGACAGCTCCAAACCATGAGGTTTGCTTCTTTTCCCAATTCCTTCCTTGGGGTTGCAAAATTCAATATGTCTGACATGCTCTGCATGTGGCCTTCTACAAAGTTCAGATAAAAACTCAGCAGCTTTTTAATGAGCGGAGGATGGAGGGATTCCCACATTTATCAATTATTTACTTTTCCTGTGTTCCCTGTTTTTAAAAGACAGCTTTAACAACAGGTAATGATTTGCTGGACTTAAAATGGCTGCGGGTAATTCTCATTGAAGAGCTTTACTGAATGATACTCACAAAATCTTGAGACATTCAGTCCTTTCTCATAGATATCAGCAAAATGTTTGCAAGCATAATGTGTTGAACCTTTTCAAATGCTTACAAGGAGCAGAGGATGTTAAAAAGAAGAAAAAAGATTAATTCCAACTATACCTACCTCTTAAAGTTTCTTTTATCTTTTAAAGGGGCTTCAATTTTTTAAATACTTTTGTTTAGTATCACCCTAAAGTACGTAGCTTTATAACATAGCGATACAATACAATGCAATACCTGCTACATTGCTTGTTATTGACAAGGATAGTACCAGAATACAGTGACTCAGTGACCCTTTGCATGTTATTAAAGATAAACGACTTTGTGTGATTGACTGCAGAGGACATAAGAATAAGAAGAACTTTATTTATCCCCAAAGAGAAATTCATAAAAGGTAAAGTACATTATTATGACATTAGCGTCACAGTAAAGAGTCATACTGTGGTGATGCAGCAGTTTTCAGAACTATTATTTTTCAATGAAAATATCCATACTTGGTGCCCACAAGATGCTTATCACATCAGATCCTAATGGTTATGATGCTGTATCATTATTGTATCTCACCTCTACAGCTGACTTTATACACCATCTTCCGGTCTAACTTTTATTTACCATCTCCCTCATGCTAAAATATTAGCAAAATTACGAATCACCGGTAGCAGCCCTCCTTGAAAGCATCTTTCCGTTCCATTAGAGTAGTCCCTCTCTCTCATGTTGATCCATTTCTTTGTGATGACAAATGTAGAAAAGCTTTGAAGACCTGGTTGTTCATGATTCACTAATTGCAGCAAAAAAGAATGCTTGATTTGTTTTATTCTCATGATAAACAACACAATATTTTTTTTAACATCTCGCAAGAAAGAATCAACCGCACAGAAACAAATGCCTTTGCTCTATGTTTTTTGCTGCTGCAACGACAAATGAGACAATCAAATACAGTGTAAACCATCACCTTTTACATGTACATAACAAAGTTCTCAAATTACTTTTAGTCAGAAAAAACATCACAAATTAGAAAATGATTCCCAAAACACAAAAACACTAATATTGAAAATATACTTAACGCCACAAAGAATAAAGATTTTGGAGTATTTGTGTCTGTGCAACACAGTAAATACAGAATTGATTAGACAGATTACACAGTAATAAACACAACAACATGCTGCACAGGTACATTCAATACACATTACGGTAAGAGTAATCTAAAAGGCCATCATCGTCAATAATGAGAAAAGTCATAACATTCATTTTTTTCATGAGACAAAATCACAGTATTTGACTTTGCACACAGAGCTTAACAAATGTCAAATTTAAAGCATTTTTTAGACAGTAGGCAATGAAATTTTTTTTAGACAAAAAGCCCTCTGTCATGCAACACTGTATTAAAAATAAATAGTTAACACAGCAGTAATTCAATTGATGCATCTTAGACTTCGTTTAATACAAATGCAAAAATAACCTCTCTCTCATGGTTCCTCTCTGTTGCATTATCTCCAATTACATGCACATTTCTGTTCCTCTAGTTTACTTAACTCATAAAATAGCAGAGGTTGTAATCACATCTGCTAAAACCCTGTAATTATGTTTGTTTGTTTGTTGTGAGTAAACCACAGTCACTGCTGAATTATCCATCATACAGTCTTTTTTTTTTTTGAGCCCACTGAAACTGTGCGGGACATGAGCAAGTCTGATCAGAGGTATCCAAGATATGTGTGACAGACGGCGGGATAAACAAACCACGTTTGAGCAGTAATGCAGTGTCACTTACATCAGTGAAACAGAAGTGAACAGATCCTACTGGCAAAGAAACATTGAATTTTTGACAAGCATTTCAACGCTTGCTGCTTTCTCTTGGGAGACTGAGCTCAACACTGATTGGCAGCAGCAGGAGTTCTTTCTTAACAAGCGTAACGCCATCACATTTTGCTTATTGGCATGATTGGCCTTGAGCCACTTTTCATGCTGCTGCTGATGATGTCTCCCCCTTCCATCCCTGTGTTTTGACCACTCGAGGCAGTCTGCTGATGGGATGACAGGCGAGTCATATGCAGAAGGCAGGTGTTGTTTTCCAATGCAATCTGTGTGTTTGAGTTTCGACAGCACCTCTTCAGACCCTGGTGGAGATGAATGGTGAATAGACCATAAGTGATGGGGTCCAGACAGGCGTTGAAGAGACCAAAGATAAACAGCATATGAGTGAGTGAATGAGAAACGGTCTCCTCCATTTTCTCAGGAAACAGCCAGTACCACAGGCCCAGCAGATAATACGGGGTCCAGCAGATGATGAATGACGTTACAATGACGATGCTCATCTTAAGAGTCCTCATGCGAGCTTTAGGGATGTTGTTGTGGGAGCGTCGCAGGTGGACGTCTCGAGACACCACTAAAAGAAAGGGAAACACTTTCAATCACAGCTGCTTATTTCTAAGAGCACGGGTATGTTTCTATGTAAACACTTACAGTTGTTGCGAGCCATGCGGCTGGAAATCTCAATGAGAATTCTTGTATAACAGAAGATCATGATGGCCAGAGGCAGGAGGAAGAGGCAAACAAAGGTGAACATATTGTAAATGGTCTCCTGCCAGCGCTGGACAAAACTGCCGTGGGTGGTGCACTGAGTGAAGTTCTCAGGAACTGTGATCGTCACGTTGTGGAATATAAACATCTGCAGAAAGAGATATGAAGAATTAAATCAAGTATAATTGTATGACATTAGATTCCTCCACTGTTGTTGCCGCAGGGTCAACTAGCAGGCTGGTTCCAAAGGCTATTGTGCAAATTGGATTATATTGGATGTTGTTTCAGAGTGGTCACAAAACTCTTTCTCATCTCCGTTAAAACATGCATGAAAAAGCTCAATATAGCTGCTCTATATTATTCACGCTGCGTGTCCCACTTCTCCACTGCTTTAATTATGGTCTTAAATTGGGGAGTCTTTCCAATCAAAAGTGCACTCCACAAGGTTTATTAGCTTAACAGTATTCCACCATCTTTGTCTGGTTGATTTTAAAGTGATGAAGGAATATATTAAAAGTGGTACTGTATATAGCAAAACTGTGTTGCTATTTTAGTTATTTCGAGTTAAGTCTATACTTAAAGCTTCTTGGATGCGAGACCTAGAGTAACCAGGTTGCCGAGCCGCTCTTCTGTTTTATACACTATCGTAAGTTTCTTGATGATCAGTAAGAGTCTTGATGCTGTTCCTCTGATGAAGCGAATGAAAACTTGTTTTGGTGTGGATAAACTTTGCCAAAGTCAATTTTTGCAATTCCCACCAAACACTGAATAAACAAAGAAAAACACCAGCATTTGGCACCACAGCGGTGAAAAACCTTTTGCCTTTCCGGGCCATCACCTGACAACAATGTTGACATAGCTACCTGTACACCTGAACCTGATTTGTATCATATCATGAGGCCTTATGTCCATCCATCATATCCCTCTCTTCTTCTGTCATGAACCTGAATGTGATAACAATAAGACAACCTTCAGATGCATCATTTATGAACTTTTTATTCATAGGTTAGTAGTCCATAATGCGTGTAGATTCTGGATTGTAAAAAAAACACCTGTACAGATAAAATTGTAAGAATCGGTTCTTTAGTTGACTGCTCAAGAACAACCAGAGAAGTCTTCAGGTTTCAGATAAACGTTTTATTATGGTCACAGGTAGAGTAATACAGCGCTGGACTCACAATGACAGAGCTCCTAGGATCTCCATCATAACATGTGCTAGGGGTGGGAATCACTAGTGGCCCCATGATACAATATTACAATACTTGGGCCATGATATGATATTACTGTGATTTTTAACATTTTGCAATACAGCGAGTATAAAATATAGCAATTTATAAAAAAAAATCCACTGTTCAGCTTATCTTATTTACGCTGTATCTTATTTTCATGTAGCACATCTTGAAAACCTGAAATATATTTGTTGTACTAACTTTCTCCTGCTCTTTGGTGTCAATTCTGCCAACTCACTGGACAAACAGTTGATTTTATTTTTCCATTATCATCGATTTGATTTCATATTAGCAACTGATTAGAAAAATCGATACTTGGTAAATGAGACAAGGTATATACCCAGACAAAATATCGTGATACTATCGTTTTTTTTCTCTCACCCCTAACAAGTGCCCATTTCCGGGTATAATTCACATTTATCTTCTTGGGCAGGGATTGCCCTGGACAGAGGTTGGACTTAACACGCAACCGAGTCTCATCGGCCAGTTATCTCCTACGTGAACAGGCCAGCCACTGTTCATGTGGTCTTACTACAATGAGCTGTGAAATATGTGTGTGTGTGTGTGTGTGTGTGTGTGTGTGTGTGTGTGTGTGTGTGTGTGTGTGTGTGTGTGTGTGTGTGTGTGTGTGTGTGTGTGTGTGTGTGTGTGTGTGTGTTGTGTAACTACTGTAGCAGACCTGTCCAACAGAACAAAGAGAGCCTTGAGGCTCATCAGCTTCCTCCTTATCAAGTTAAACGTCACACTGTTCTGGCTAAATGAAAACAACCTGTGAAAACACTCATTAAATTGCATGAGTTCGGTGAAAAAGTATAAATCTAACACTAGCAAATAAAATACAATCATAATAAATTGATTCATGGAAAATTACAAGGACATGTATGATGTCTTTTCATAGTCATAGTCATAGTGATTACTCAACCCATTGTATAACGTATGAAAGGAAGTGCTTTATATACCTGCAGGCTGCAGCCAATCAAATCATTGCTTTTCATAGCAGGTTGTGATAGCCGTCTTACATCTAGATGTAATTGTCATGTCGTTTTAATAACCAGTTAAGAATGAATCTTAAGAAAGAATCAGCTATGAATGTTATCATTAGTCAATTGTGTCTCCTGAATGATGTTGGCTTCACAAAGGATGTATAATATGATTTAAAAAAAAAAAAAAACTGAAGTCCTTCTGTCTCCTTCTCACAGGAGACAGGAGCTAAAATAGGGGGGATGAAGTGACCAGATTTCACAACGAGGTTGTTTTTTTTTTCTTGACTGCTGCTGTACTTCTGCTTTGGATATCTTTAGCTGACATTTTCTCTTTATATGCAGGTGCCAGGTGCCAGGTTTATACCACCTATAGAGTAGTGAAGCATTAAGCCACATGAGAGAGGAACCTATTTTATGGGCGTGGCAGAACTCTTAAGTGTGTGGGCAGGCTCAGAAAGCATATGGTAAAACATCACTGTTTTTCTGCATGTTTTTGAGCAAACCACCAAACCTTAATTGCCATCATTAGTCAGCCGCGCATTGCTGCTCCACTTCCATTGATTTCAGTTGATGTGCATGTGAATGAAAGAGGATTTGTGAATTGGTAAATGAATGCAGTCTCTGTACCTCACTGTTATCCTATACATGCCAAGCTGAATCCCAATAAGGTACTGAACTGTCTTGTTCATGCTTATTGATTCATGGATTCATTCTGAATGTGTGGCATTGACTTGAATGCCCAGAGCTGCTTTTGGATACCTTTCTAATAAACAAGTAGGAAACAACAGGCTGACTCTCTATATATACATTTAAAGTGGATAGGGCATTGTCATTACAAAGAGAGGACTACAGGGACAAACAGGCTGACTGAGGTGCTTTTGTCAATAAGAGAGATTGACAGGTAATATTTATTATTGAACACCCAAAGCCTATGGCTGTCCATCTATCAAAAAGATTCATCTTGCTGACAAAACAATCTGTCATGAAATCACTTCTCTGTGTGGTTCATGTGCCATCCAAAGGCCAGAATTATCAATTTTGTCAATTAGCCTCAAGTGAAAAAAAACAACAGCTTTTGCATTAATTTGGAGCGCTCACCAAATAAAATGACTAATTGTGTTCTCATAACAATGGGAAGCAAAACACATCCCAGCGTTTTGTCAACAACCTTGCCTGTCTCCTGTGACAATGTCAGAATTAGAAGTACTGATCTGTCCAAGAAAACAGAAACAGGGAAAAAAAGGACCACAAAAAGCACCTTATATCCTGCAGGGCTGAATTTCTTATATGGCTCATGTGTGCATTTTATGGATTTTATAGATGAATCTACAGGTGAGATCGGCTTTTTGATGTATCATCATGCAGAGAAATGCTATTTATATTTAGAGCACAGCTCTCAAGGGGAATCCAAACCCACAGGCTCCATCATGAGCTGACTTTTGAGTCTTCAATCTGAACAAAACAACAGTAGTATCGCTGCTGGCAATTTTCTTTTGGTCAGGACATTTAGCGCAGCTACTTTGAGGCCATCAAATATCACTGTAATGATAAATGGGCTGCTAAGACCAAGCTGTGCAGCAGCTGAGCCTCAAAGTCAGGAGCAGTTCAAACATTCAAATAAGATTCCTGTGCACATACGGGCATTCTTGTTCAACCAAAACCTTCCAGTCTGAATAGTTGAGAGGATAGTTGAATAGTTGAAGTTAGGATTAACTTCATTGCAATATAAAACTAACATGTTAATTCACATATTTATAAGCAAAACTGAAAAACTGAAATTTTGTTCAGAGAGCCTGAGAGTTTGACCCCAGGAATAAACAAAGAAGATATAAGATATCATCATTCACAATTTATCCACCTTGGGTCCTCAGAAATGTTATTCTAATGTCACAGAAATGTCTGTGCCCTTGGTGATATTTTTGAGAGCTTTAGCAGTCTGCAGGATTAATTTCAATGCCACAACTCACTGTTGATAATACAAAATCCTTAAATATGGCCAAGTCTGGTTTTGTTGTTCATTGAAAACACTTAGAATTTGACTCTGAATCTGGATATTTGACCTAGCTGATACTTTAAACGCCCTGAACATTCACATTTGACTAAACTTTGATTCGTCATTTATACAGCATAGAAATCATTCGTCTTGTCTTGAATGGTCCTGTTAATTTTAATAGGTGATAAAGAGGCATCAATGTTTCATAACCTAACCTGAGTTTCATAACCACTCTCTGCATGAGGGCTTTTGCATAAGAACATTATGAGAACAACTTCTCAATTAAAAACCTTGATGGTGTGCTTTTAAAGTCTCATTCAAGGTAATGTAGTAGCAGTTTCATGCAACTAAAGTATTTGAGATCACTGAGGAAAAGTGCAAGTGAATCAAAGTCAGGCTGCAGTTATTTAGCTTCCTGAAACTATGCTTGTATTAAGAATACGTTTATTTTTTGATTCCCTAAATGTGCCTCACAGCCACATTTATCTAAAGGGCAATGCAGAAATGTTAATGCATCTCCAGCTCTTACCAGATACGCAAGAATGAAACGGGGTAATGACCGGAAAGGAACCACTTGGCTTAGTGAAAATGTCTTTTTGTACTTAATGTACATTTATGGTTTAAGTTATTTCAAGATAATTCTGACATCTATAATAAAAATTCAATACAACATATTGGAAGATCTATACTGAGTCTGACAGAATGAGGATAAATTCAAGAGAAAACTGACCATCAACCATCACTAATATGACTTGCGCAGAGTTAATGCTTAAATCTCATTAGTGACTTGCTTGTAGAAATAGTTTTATGTTATTGTACATATAAGTCTATGGTTAAAAATTCATTCTATGCCTGCTTTGACAAACAATGTGCCTCATCCATATTTTATTCCATGTCTTGTCCTATAGAGGTGAGACCAAAGTGATGAAACCAAAACATGCTTTATAAGTCATCAACACTAAATCCACTGGGGACACAGAAATGTGTCATGAATATTGAGATACTTATTCATATTCTCAGATTGTAAGAAACAAGACTGAGACTGGGAGCTTTAGATTAGCAGACAATTGCTATATGATACCGTACTTATACCAGGTCTCAAGTGTACAACTGCATTTATAATTAACTGTTGAAACAAATTGGACACATAGCTGTATGGGGGAATGTTTAGGGTCTCTGAAAACTATTTGTCTGTGTAGGTTGTACATTTATGTCAGGTGAATTTTGATGTAGCCTCTTAACTTCTGAATGAAAAGGCAACCTGTCATAGATGTCCCATTACATTATTACCACCCACACAACTGCAGCTAACCCCTGCTGTGGATCCCCTCTATGAAATCAAGACTGAAGGAGTTCATGAAGGAGCTCACACTTTCACCTGAAAACTCCTCTTATGTCAAGAAACCATCCATGTTGATAAGTGACAGCATGATTACACCATGGGGGTTACATAAGATTCTTCTTCTTTCTGCTTCCTTTCATCCAGATTTGGGAACATTTGTGCATACTGTATATTGAATTATCTTGATTTTAATCAATGAACAAAATAAAATGTTAAATACATTGATAGAATACACTAAGAACCTCTCTATTCAAGAGTTCATCCTTGTAACCCACGATAGGGTCATGTAAGAGGTTTCTATTGTAAATTTAATGGGGAGGGGTTTTTTTTCCATCAACCTAAGTAATAGTAACAATTAGCCTATGTATTAGGGCGAGCAGTCAGTCATAATAAGCTATAAAAGCAGTGCATGCCCAAGCCCTTAAATAAAAATAATTGAAAATATTCATCTGTTAGTGTGTTCAATTAAACAATACCTTGGTTCTACGGTTTTGGTCAATCCCTGCCTAATCTGTCCTACTTGCTTGCAATGGCAAAAAAGCTGAGCCCACTTCATGGGTGCAAGCCAGTTCCAAATACTGTAAATTCCAACATCTTGTTGGTAACTTTGTAGGCATGTGATTGTGTCATTTGACTGACCATGGAGCTGGTTACATTACTGTGCGTGTGTGCATCAACCTGTATCAGTCCTGAATATTTTGGCTTTCATTTAGCCTACCGATACACTGTAAATTCCAACACATTGTTGTTGGTAACATAGGGCAAGTGTGAGAGTGTCTTTTAAAATCAAGTCATCACTTGACAAAAACAAAACAAAACAAAAAAAAAACAATCAGTACTCAGCTCGTTTAATACTCTTAAGTGTTGAAGTTTCTTGTTATGGCATGACAGATGGAAAAGTACTTGCTTTGCTGCTGACTGCAGAAGACCTAATGTCATCCACTGTAGTTATGCATAATGAGATACATACAGAAGAAAACAAGGTATATTTAGATTGTTTCTCACATCAGAGAAAAAACGGCTGAGCACTGTCAGGAGTTAAAGTTAAAAACAACTCTCTTTCTCTTTTCTTTATGGTCTTATAGGAGTGAAGCAGTATGTTAATCTCTGTGTAGGCAGCACAAGGCCACAGCTGTCTGACAAAGCTTTCCCACATAATTAAACAATAAACTTTAAGCAGTGGCAGAGCTTGACACATTTAGCTCAGTTATTTTGCTCTGAGCTTCTGGCTGTGGTTTACAACTCACCTTGAAACATTTTAGCTCTCTTACCTCCGTAGGGTGTAATTTTTGATGCTTGAAGGATTCCAGTCATTTGTACTACATGTCATGGGGTGGCACCATTTACAAACCATCATCAGCACTCTAAATATTTGAGGTAACACTGGTGCAAAGCTGAAAGTAGAAGTGACTGACGTTTAGTGCTGCTCTGTCATTTTGGCCATTTTTCTTAAAACTTGGCTATCTAAAAATGGCAAAAACTGACTGGACTTTTTGTGAAATTTTAGGTACCTCTGAATGTTGCACATGCAAGACACTGTCATTTAAATCTTAAATATGCAACTTTTGATGGATAGCACTGCCTTTTTGCAATTTTTCAGGGATGTTGTGGAACTGGTGAATGTGTTTTCATGGTTTTGAATAGGACTAAGTACAGAGGTAAATGTGTTCATAATGCAACCAACTTTTGTCTATAGAACAACCAAAAATGGCAGTAATGATTCCACCTCTGTACACGAGTCCCAGCTGTTGCTATTTTTAAATCAGAAATACTCTTTTTTTTTTAGCTCTAATATTCTTCCAATACTATCTTTATGAAATTTGAGCTTGATATTCAATGAATCACTACAGCAGCTTGTTTATGTCACTTGCTGATACACACAACCTACATCTCCTCCAAGGTTGACTTCACATTTGCAATAAAATTTCATTTCCTACTATCGCTACAAAAAAACTAAGAGGTCAAGGTTACCAGCAAACTAAAAAGGAAAAAAGTATTTTGATTTGAATATTTCCTCAAAAAAATCTTGACCTTAGTAATTTTTATGATGTGTTTTACGCTAATGAGCTCAAGTTGTAAAATATTAATTGTATATTACAGGGAAATTGAACTAATTAACCTCTAAATAACATTTGGCCCAAACTTGATTTGTAATTTAATACCTTTTGACTGGTTATTAAATTTTATTCAGACACTTTTTTGTGACATTTAATGTTTGTTTGTGCACTAATGATTTGATTGAAATGCTGTGGCTTGGCTTGAGATATTCATGAGCGTACCAGCTTCATTAGCAGTATTTAAGTGCTTTGATGTTATTGACTTCTGAGGTTTGAAAAATCCAGGAATGTGTCCTAAATTGAACCAGAGCTTCAATCCCCATCCCTAACTATGATACAGTTGCTTCATGTGGACTGCAGCAGAAATGATAAATTTGAGTCCTTGGCCTAGCAGGACTTCTTACCATATTACAGTTTCACTTTGGGATTCATTGCAGCACCTAAAACTCAACCAATGCTTGTAGCCTTCTGGGTACATAACATCAAGCAGACAATGTATCATCACATTCAGAGCTAATTTGTTTCACTGGAGCCATTTCCTGTCCTGTGTGTGTCTGTTGTTTGAAGGAAATTAAGTGAACTTGTTCAAATCCCACTCGGCTCTTGATGACCGCAGCATCATCATTGTCAATATCATTTGGTATCTTTAATTACTTGTAGTAATTAAGACACATGATATAAATGATTTACTGATCCTGACTGCAGAACGCACATGCCAAGGAGTGAATAAGGGAAGTACCAACACAAATTTTTTCCGCTTTAAGCTCTGAGTCACACACTGTTTATGAAGCTGTTTGCTGGAGGATGATGAAGTTCCCCCCTAAGGCCTAACCTTGCTTTTCCTTTAATCGTTGCTACTATTTTTCAACCAGTGATTCATGCACAACTCACAGTCAACCGTATATGTTTCAGTGAAAATCTTAATTCTCCTGTGGAGGTCCGAGTAAAGACGGGTGTAGTAACAGACCTCTGAGTGAAAGTTCCTTTTTTCATGTAACAAAGACATGGAGCTTTTCTCGATGGAGGCAGCAGGAGAACATTTGTGAATGCAACCCTGCATATAATCAACTTTTGAGGGAGATTGGCAAATAGTTGCTGAATTACAAACCAAGATACCCTTAAGAGTTTGCATTCATTTGATGTTGGGCCCAATGAAATCTTTTTCCCGAACTATGTTTTTTTTTCTCCATTAAGCTTTTTAAGTTCTGTGTTTTTACTTCAGTATCCTTATTTTAATAATTACTGATGAATTTGAACAAAAACACAACAAAAGTGCTCTCGTTCATTTATTGTTGTGCGATTATTTACAAGGGATAACCCATAAGCGCATCGCAGTGTCACATTACTGACAGAGTAAAATTCCCAATAACTGCATTTGGAAGTATCAGCCCACATTAGAATTGTGAATTGTGTCCTTGACACACTCGCCGATAAAGATGATCAGGGTGCTTTTTTTTCATGGATCTACCACTCAACAGCTTCCATATGCTGCTGTAACACACGAGGTAAGCGGGTCTGACAGAGCCTATACTCTCATGCTCTGGCAGCTCTCCCCTTTGATTAATGGTTGACCAGAGATAGACACAGCTTTTCCTTTTTTTTCCCAGTTGGTGGTCTCCACATGTTTTCTTGCTGGTCCAGTCTACTTTACACGAACAGACCTCAAAGAAAGGTCACCCTCTCAATTCTTAAGTTGTTAGGTTATTGTTCTGCTCCCAACCTAGTCCTTTGTGCATTAGTACATTTGATGACTTTGACATCGCAGAAGGCCTCTTTGCCATGGCAGTCCATTTGAGTCCTGCTTGAGGTGAAAACAGGTCACACACATATCACAAAGGTTAAAGGGGGCAGCAGCGGCCAGGTAATGGTTGACAGTCTGGGCCATAGTTTTTATCGGTGTATTAAACTCAGGTGCTGCAGGCCTGTTAGCTGCTTCTTGCTCCCTAGTGTTAAGTTGGCTAACTTTTAGATCTGAAATTTACTGAAATTCATTATAATTCAGACACTTGAGAGCTGTCTCAAGCAGCTGTCAAAAACAGTCAAAGAAGGAGTCAAGAAGTATATATTGGCACCCTAGACGAAAGGGACTCGGCGGCACTCAAGTTTCATATTTTGGCTTTCGGCATTTGAATAAAAGAGTTTAATAGGTATATCCAATCAGCCAACCGCAGTGTGGGGTAGGTCACCTCTGTGGTGTTGAATAATTTCTACCCTCTAAATGAGTCTTGAAATATTGAAATAATTCTCAGAGTTGAGGAGAAAGATTTTGGGATCAAGTCATAGACATGTTCAAAAAATGTTCAAATTGGTCCCTTTTGTGATGCCTCCACAGAGAACAGACTTCCGATATTCAGTTTCTCTGAGCCTGGGCAGCATATTTTATGTGAGTCATAAAAGAAACCATGAAGGACTTTGATTTTGCATTTTTTTAATGAAAGCTGTGGGCCTGGTGACCAAAGATTTTGATGAGGCAGTTATATAGGTTTGTTTTTCAAGAGATTAAATTCAGTATGTTTTAGTCAGCAAACATTTCAGAGGCACAGATGTAGGGCTGCAAAGTGTTAAGTTTATGTATCTGTTATTGGCTGTAAAGGATTAATAGTTGCAGTATCACACCAACCTAACTGAATGAACTTTTTATTTATGTTTTTTATGTTTATTGAAGTTTTTACTTCCATACTCAGTTTAATCCGTAGCAGTGTCACAACAAATGGATTATCAGCTTTTCAGAGCTGTTCCTAAAGGTAAATTGCTGAAGTGACTTTGATGGACTGCACTCATTTCATAAATGCAATTGATGTATTACAAAACTGTCTTGGAAGAAGAGGGTAAATGCAGGGTTGGTATAGATTTCTTTGAACCTGTGAGTTGACCTGTTTGACATGTGCTCTATCACCTTTGATTTTCAGGACCTGAATTTTGCCTCAGGTTTTGGGTATCCTACTGAAATTATTAAATCCGTGCAAATCTGGGTCTCATAATGCAGGAAAATCCTGCAGATGTTCTAAAAAGATATCCCTACTTTGAATCAGAGCTGTTCAATATTAGAAATCAAGATGCACTTTTTCCCCTTTAAAATTAAGGAATTTATACCAGATAAATTTGGTGCATTTAAGTGCAAAGAAACAGTTGAAATTTTCAGTAACAGAATGATTATAATTGTTTATAATTTTGATCTTTCAGGCCCAACTAAACAACACTGTTGCTCCACAGAGTCCAGAGCTGTGAGGTTTTGTTTGTTACAAGATGTTCAGTTAAAATGTAAGAGACTGACCCAGAGAAGTGACTTCACTGTTTGCTGGTAGACTGATCCAGTGGTGGCTCATAGTAACATCTTAATCAAGAGAGCTGGAGAGGATACGTGTGATTGATTATTACCCATCTGTCCTGGTCGTTTGATGGAAATGTAACTAAGGTGAAGACTGGCTCTGAAACAACGCTGTAATGGGACTCTCACACCAAGCGTGAGTAAAATCATCTACTTGCTTAGTTTGCACAAATCTAGCTGTGTAAATAAATGGTATTTACTCCCTTCATTCCCGTGTCAATAGTAATTTCAACGGTAATCCCTGCCAATTCAACTGGTGGGATCAAGTGATAGACGAGTTTTTTTTTTCTTACAGTTTACCAGGTAATTTGACCTCCTCACTCACTTGCCTCCAGGCGAACTCCTTTTTACTCCGGTTTCTGTAATTAACAGAAAAGGTTTCATATAATTCAGGGCACCCACACACCAACATGATCAGTTTGTCCTCCATTTTAGATACCAGTGAACAACCGTCCGTTTTCATACGTCACCCGGCAACCTTCATGCTGAGTAATTATCGCGATGCAAATATCCACTCAAGTTGAGATTCACCCAATTCACATCATTTGCGCCACCAGAGTTGTAGGAGTGTCTAATCGCTTCTTTGCATTGACTTAACATGGAATTTCATTAACGTGAATGATTTTACTTGTGGTTGGTGTGTGGAGACAGTAACGGTATAGCTCTCTGAATCTTAGACTCTTGTTTGCAGAGGAGCAAGGAAAGGCAATCTTGGGTAATTTTGGGAGAAAAGAAGTCTGACTTTTTACTGTGAATCATTGTCATCAGAGTTGTAAACAAAGGCTCTTCCTGTCAGTATGTCTTTATATCCTTTGTCTGTTGGCAGTGGGGTAATTGCTCAGGGCGATTCCCGCCATTTGGAAATGTGTGTTTGGCTTTTGTTATTTCAACAGAGACATCTGTGTTAAACTCAGACAGCTTCTTAACCACGACAAAACTCCTCACAGCAGTGTTATGATGGAAATAATGAAAGTCTTCATAAGTTTATGCCATTGTCTTTGCTGTCACCACCTTATAGCTTCTTGGTTAAACCCCAAGAAGCTAAATCCTAACCGTGACAGATGAAGGTTCAAAATGATAAGTCAGGCTATATAATGGTTGGGGTGCTGTGATACTGCGGCTTTTCTTGTCATTGTACACAGCAGCTCTGACAATAATGACTCTGCCGGTGGCACATTTTGAACTTCCCTCGTTGCTTCTCAGCAGATAGATGCAGTTTTACAATTATTCCTCAAAAGGAGAAGCCTTCAGTGAGCTAAAATTGAGTCGGCAATTTTAGGGAGAGGGTTTTTTTTTTTTTTTAAATCCTGTGATCCTTAAGTCTGTTTACTCTCACTGTCACAAAGAAATAGAGATCTCTCACAACAGACATAAAAACAGATTAAGGATCTTGAGTCTAAAAACAAATCTCTGAGCCATGGATGGAAGAATGTGCTGAATAGCAAACTGAGAAAAACATGGTCCTAAATAAATCAATATAAGACACAAGAAGTATTTCTCACGGGCATTCTTCTTATTTTGCCAGTGTCATCTTATTCGTCCTATAAGTGTTATTGTAGGGTAGCATGGATTCAGCAAATAGCCCGATTGTTGGGTTCTCAGCTTGAACTGGATGGTGGTTTTAAGTTTGATTTTCCATCGGCTAGGCAAGAGGTTTTATGCCTCTAGAGAAAAGTTGAATTGAACACACTCACTATCCTCATGGCAATCAGTAGCATAGCTGTTGTCATTTTTCATCTTGTCATATTTGAAGGCTGGTGTGGCACCTTATTTCCCCCCGCAGAGGTGAATTACACATGAATGCCTGTCTGTGCCATTCAAGAGTTTGTCATGTGTCAAGCGGATTACATGCAGCCCTGACTAATAAACCGTCACAGATGAGGGCACCACTGTTTCCTCACTGGGAGACCCAACGCTGTCACAGATGATGTTCCTCCTGTTGCGCAATTATGCAAAGGTATGTCCAAACAGGGAGATTTAATAAGACAATGGCACCATGAGTGTTGCAACAGCTCTGAACTTTTAATTAATGTAGTTCAACTTATAATGAAGTGAAGACCCTTTGTGTAGGTCGATCGTGCACCAAAGTCGACAGACAAGTTATTTTCAATTATAAGAAGTAAATGTTCCAAATAAAAAGTATCGACTTTAGTACAGTCCATGTTCAGATAAACCAAGCACCAGGTGCTTAGGGCAATGGCTTTGTGTAGCTTAGTTTGCGGTCCAAGCTTTCAGTTATTTTCCATAGTTATTTTTATTCGCCGCTCCATTGTTTCAGGCAAGGCTGGAACAGACATATCAAACTGTTAAATACACAAAGAGTATAGCTGAGGTTTGATTCATTTCTAAAGACAGATAAAAGTAATTACAGACCAGTGTGCACTGATGATGGAAATGTATACTCTTGGCTTTAATTTGCCAATTGAATTTATCAGACAAAGATGTTGATTTTAGTGCGGACCATGTGTTAACTTCTTCATTTATGCAAACATTGTGATTACTCTAAATTATTCGTACCTCACTGGCTGGAATGTAAAACAACCTTCATTATAAGACGACTCCCTTTCCAAGTTTAATTTTTAAAGAAGTATTCCAAAGGCCAAATCTCCTGAATGGATGACGGGTCTCCAGCTACATGGGTCATTTTTTTTTAAAGTTTTTATTTTAGTCTCAATACCATCAAGAGTTCAATATTATTCCCTCTCATCACGTGGAATATCAAGCACACACCTGTGTCATGGTCATCTGTTTGAGCATTGGCTTAATTTAATGAACTCTTTCATTGCTATTCAATGAAAGTGTAGCATGTGTTTAATTAGTTGTTGAAGTTGTGATTGTGAACAAAGGCCTTTGTTTGAGTCCATTTGAGTTTAAACTTTTAAAATTTAGCTGTGTTGTAACTTTGTAACTTACCAATGTTAATATCTGGTGACACCATTTTACTTTGTTGTAATTCACTGACATCATTGGAGGCTCGACTGGTTCTTACAAACATTCACTCATTTTGAATCTTGTGCTGCAACATGTTCCTAAAAAGTTGGGGCAGGGGTAGCAAAAGTCTGGGAAAATTGAGTACTGCTTCAAAAACACCTATTTGGATCGCATGTTCATCGGAAACAGGTGACTGTCACAACTGGGTATACAAAGAGCTTCTCTGAAAGGCTTAGTCTTTTACAAGCACGGATGGGGCAAGGCTCACAAAATAGTCCAACAGTTTGGGAGCAACATTTCTTAATGCAACTTGAAGATTTCCTCATCTACAGTCTGTAATATCAGAGAATCTGGAGAAATCTCTGCACTTAAGCGCCAAAGCCGAAAACCAACTGCCCATCAGGCAGTACTGCATTAAAACCCACATTGTTCTGTTAGGGATATTACCACATTGGCTCAGGAGAACCTAACGTAAAAAATCCCACTGTCGAGTATCACAGTTTGTCTCTACATCTACAAGTGCAAGTTCAAACTCTACCACGCAAAGCCAAAGCCAGATATCAGCAACAGCCACAAACACTGCGGCTTCCCTAGGCCCAAGCTAATCACAGATGGACTGATGCAAAGTGGAAAAGTGGAAAAAGAGTCTGATGAGTCCACATTTCAGGTTGTCAGTTTCAAAATCACGGACATGGTATCCTCCAGGGCTGAATAGTAAAAGCATCATCCTGATTGTTCTAAGGTCAAAGTTCAAACCAGCATCTGTGATTGTATTGGGGGGGTTGATTGCCACATCTGTGGAGGCTCCTGCCTGCAGTTCAGACCTGTCTCCCATTGAAAATGTGTGGCACATTATGAAGTGTGAAATACCTCAACGGAGACCCACGACTGTTGAGTAACTGAAGTCATACATCAAGCAAGAATGGAAAAGAATTGCACCTCCAAAGCTTCAGCAATTAATATCCTCAGTTCTGAAATGATCGTTGAGTGTTGCTCTAAGCAAAGGTGATGTAATGCAGCAGTAAACATGACCCTCTCGCTGTTTTTAGGAACATGTTTCAAACATCAAATCCAATTTAAGTGAATATTTGCAGAAAAAAAAAAAAAACCTTAATGTTTTTTAGTTTGAACATTAAATATTGTGTCTTTATCATGTGTTTAATTAAATATAGTCCAAAAAGATTTATAAATCATTGTATTTTGTTTTTATTCACGTTTTAAACAACATCCTGACTTCATTGGATTTGGTGTTTTGCTGTGTTGCATACGCTATATCTGTCATGCTTGTCAGCCATCCCCTTTCTGAAAAAAGCCCCAATTGAGGTCAGAGTGGCTCTAAAACTGTTGCTTACAAAAAGAGAGAAGCGTCAGGCTTGTTTTGTTTTTTTGCAACAAACAGCACTAAAATTATGTATAAGCAAGGCAGTAAAAAACGCTTTAACAGCATGTAGGTTAAGTCTTCCTTACAACACAGCGGATTAGAGAACAGCAATGGTTATGTGTGGGGTGACGCTGAAATCTCATATTGTTTAATTTGTTTAGCAGGCAGAGAGGGCCAATGTAATACAGAGACTAACACCACTTAAAGTACAAGCTGATATTAAAAACCTTGTCATTATAAGGCCAAAGTTAAGTGTTACCCTCTTAACATGTTCAAGCTGTTTACACATCTGGTTCAATTATCACTTAATCACTTTCTTACACTGATCATAAGTCGAGGATTGCTCATTCTCAGTCTGAATACTCATGTCAGGCTTATTATCCAAGTTAGTCCTTGGGAATGAGGTTTGTCTTCTTTAGACTTCCCCTCTTTCTGTCTCAGACCACTTTCTAGATTTGGTTTTGTTTGTGCACAATACTCGTGCACATGCTTGCAGTAAAGATCGGGGGACGGGCATGATAAAAGTAAAAGTTCAATTTGCTCGATAGAAATGATAAGCTGCCCTGTGTGTAAAAGTCTGATGTTTTAAAACCATCAAGATGCTGACCGTGTTGCTGGATGACGTCACCTGACTTTTCCCTTTGCTGTCAAGGAAACAAAAGTCATTATTCAAGCAGCCACTGGGACCGGAGATCCTGTATGTCCTTTCTGACACCTCTTTATTAACGTAACGTGTTTTTCAGATCAAAAATAGCCTAAAATTTTTCACAGTGGTGTATCCACATATACCGTCATTTCAGCCTCCATCTGAAACGCCCCCCCCCACCCCCCACCCCACTTTCTTCTGATTGGCAACCTCTCCAGAGGCTTTCCAGAAGCCAGCCTAGGGCAGAGCTTGATATTTTGGCGCTGCTCCCTCTATTGTGGTTGATCAGCTGAGCAGCAGAGCAGTGTTACCCCCATTGATATCATACATGTATACCTACTGTATATATGTGTATATTACATCTATGGTTACCCCGCTCCACTGTGGGCAGTACCATCAACCCGCCAGCACTGACATGACGTCATGTCAGGGGCGGCTCCAACAGAGGTTGACTAGAGCTGCACTTACTGCTGTCAAGAGGCCCTGTCAAGAGGTAACACTGAGACAGTCAGCCAGAACTCACCCATCTGTCTGTCAAGTCAGTCATGCCCATATTATGTAAATTACTGTATAACCCCTGGTCTTTTTAAACCTAGAAACATGGGTTATAAAAAGGCCTTGTACAGAGTGTAAATGGAGAAATGAGCCGCAGAGACCAAAAATATTTTTGGACCAAGCTGTAAACATGTTTATGTCGGCTAGGAAGTGGCATCTAATGAGGTTTCCATTACTTTTGCAGTCAGCCTCAAGTAGACACTTGAGAAACTGCAGTTTCCTGCACTCCCCCATTGGAATCATTTATCCCACTCTGGAGGTTAAAGCTTTATTTACATACACCAAATCAGCATTTTCTAAAGTGTGAGCACCAGGCTTTGGGCAGGCACTTCAGGTAGGGTTGCACGAGTGGCTGACTAAAAGTTTAGAAATGTTTACCCATTTGCTGATGTTTTAAAAACTGCTTTATTTATTTATTTTATTCTGAGTAGGCTGATAATTTGTCATTTTTTTATGCAGAACTTTTGTCTTTATGACACCCAAATATAATGTAAAGAACATAATATTAGTCTCATATATGTAGTTAGAGGTTTTGGGGTGCCCCAGAATGGTTAGAGGTTCACAGTTGGCATAAAGTTTGCAAAGAACTGCTCTTAATGATAGCTCAATGTGTATTTTAAAGAACTGTCTAAATGTCATGTGATATTTTTCACCAAAGTCATTCCATATTTGCTAAACTTTTAAACTTTCTGGACAAAATATTGAAAACAGGTACTCCTGAGTGTCTTTGGGCCCTGTCCTCTCTGTGGAAATAATTCCTAACCTTTGCATCTAATTTGTTTTTAAGAAAAAGGGATGTCTTGACTTTTACTTTAGTGCACAGTAGTCCCACCAGATGTCTTGGATCGACAAAAAATAGCTGATTTAAAAACTTAATACGGTTTTGACATTTCCAAACCTGAAAGCCAGCCAGTTCTATGCTTTTTTGTCGCACCTCATCAGAAATCCTCTCCTCATATCAATAAACTGTCTTATTTGTAAATAAATACGACCATATTTTGTGCTAAAAGCCTATACCAGCTGTTGTCTTGCTTTAAAGTAAAAGAAATAAGTATGAAACTTTAACTTTTCAGTTAAACCCAACACTTTCAACACAACCAGTCCAGAAAATTGACTTTTATTGGAAGGAAATATTGTAATTCACCTTAAAGCAGTCCTTGAGGCTCAGTGACACAGCTGCATTTCTCTTTCTTTCTTTGCAAATCTCTCTTAAGATTTACTCCAATGACTGAACTAACGTTCACATCTCTTTCCTACAAAATTCATCCAGGACACTCACCTGAGGAAAATTTAGTTTCAGCGCTTAAAGCTGTTTTTTGAACAATGTTGAACTCCCTGAAATGGGTATATGACAGGCAGCATCAAACATGAGTAGCTTTGATGTTGGAGAAGCCTCATATGATTACAGTGTGAAGGAATGATTTGATATGAGCTCCTAAAACAAAAAAAAAGTGTGTTTCCTCTTACCTGAGGGAGAGAAAGGATGACACTCATCGACCAGGCTATAGTCAACATGATTTTACTCTTCCTTTTTGCTTCACTTATCCCCAGAGGATTCAGAATAGCAGACTGTCTGTCCAAACTAATGACCACGGTCACAAAAGCGCACGAGTACATTGCCACCAGCTTCAGAAACATAAGCAGCCTGCAGGCGAGGTCCCCCGCCTGCCACTGCACTGTGATGTTCCACACCGCGTCCACGGGCATCACGATAAAAGTCACCAGCAGGTCCGCCACCGTCAGGTTCATGATGAGGATCCTCACGTGAGATTTGCGCCTGCCGCCGTTGCTTGCAGCCCACAGCACGACCAAGTTGCAGACGGCTGACACCGCGCACAGAGTGAAGGTGATGATAACTCTGACTTTGGCCGCGGTGGAGAAGGTTGGCAGCTGGAGCGCGTCTCCATCGGTGCTCTTGTTGCACTGTGAGGGGGCTGCCTGACAGCTGCCGTTCACCGTTTGATCCGTCAGCTGGTGGAACATCATGAACCCCTGCAGGCTGCAAATAAAAGTGAGAAATACTCCCGTCCGATCCTCGACTACCTCTCTATTCCATGCGCATCAGTCTGGACCCCCAATTGTGGAATCTAAAAAAATATAGATATAGATATAAAATCATTATTTTAATCAACGCTTTGCTGGATCGTTTCAGGCATGCCAAAAGGTGCAGATGCTGTGCGTAAGCGGCACAAACATGTCTCGTCAAAACAGTTCCATGTGAAGTCCCGGCAGGTAAAGCTTTAATTTGCGCACAATAAATATCCAGACACCACTTTGTTTAGCTCTTAAATCGAATTCAAAGGCGCGCCAAAAGTAAGAGTGCGATCTTACCATGAATGAATATTAAAAGAAGGGAGCTTACCACGACAGAAAATAGAAACATGAGCGGAACAAGCCTCAATATATTTAAATTTAAGCGGAGTTACCAGCTGCACTTCCTTTCCTCTTTTTTAATTTACGCACGGTTCCACAGTCATGGCTCCAGCTGATGTGATAGACTTACCTCGTTAGCAGCTGTAAGGCAGAGACAACAATGTAACTAACTGAAATTGAGCCAATTGAGTTAGAAATAGCTCACCTGCACTCAGGAGCGGAGATGACGATGAGCACACACGGGGATCCCAATGAGCGTGTTTCCACCGCAGCTGTTGCTTCAGTCTGCTCCATCCCTCAGCTCTGACGCCTATAATGTCAGAGGAGAGCACAAGACGCCCTGGTCTGTTTCACTGTCTGAGGACGGATCAGGATGTAAAGATTAAAAATGTGTGATTTATTTAATAGGCCTATATTAAAAGTTTTCTAAAGACTTTGCATCTTCATGTGTTATCTTCATTGATATTTTCTCAATCAAAGATTTTATCCAATTGACTATTTGCAGCACTGTCAAATTACTTGGTATACAGGTATTACAGCCTCATAAAATACCACCTCTTACATGAACTAATTGACATCCCTCCTGAACATACTCTGCATGTCTCTTAAAGGGATATTCTGGTGTAAAATTAATTTAGGGTCAAACACACCGTAACACCGAGTTAGACACCCCCTCGAGAGATGAATGTTGCCGACTGCTTGCTTCTCTAGTTATACCAACTTTAGTAACGACTGCACAATAGCAATACACAGCGGTCTGAGGAGCCATAAACAAACTTCAACCAAAACGCCACTCTATAGCCACAAATAATCCTCAGAACAGCACCTAACTTCATCAACAGTACATATAGGGTCCCAGCCATGGCACTAGCCACCAAACATCTTTTTAACTTTGCCTAATTTCTTTTGCAAAGAGACTAAACACAACTCACCTGCTCTCTTCCAGCAGCCACATTACAGACTGCTGAGGGGTGACGCAGCTCAAGGAAGAACATTTATGACCATTTCTTCATGGAAATGTTATGAGACCAAGATGCTTAGGCAGAAGAACTACCGCTTCTGCAGTGCAAAATGATAAATATGGTGATTATTACTTCAAGAAATGATAAAGGTGCTGTTCTGAGCATTATTTGAGGCTATAGAGTGGCGTTTTGGTTGAGGTATGTTCATGGCTCCTCAGACTGCTGTGTATTGCTATTGTGTGTTCATTACCAAAGTTGGTATAACGAGAAGCAAGCGGTCGGCAACATTCATCTCTCGAGGGGGTGTCTAACTCGGTGTTGTGGTGTGTTTGACCCTAAATTAATTTTACTCCAGAATATCTCTTAAAGCAATAATTCTACTCAACATAAGTTTATATGTGGGATCTTGATCAATTCATCAATCCAAGCTACAAGTTCTCCCTGTCCTGCAGCTGTATTCAGTCGTCCAACCTAAAATTACTGGATTCATTGGATCCAGACAAACAGGAACAACATGAGTAAACTGTGCCACAAACTTCAAGTCCAATTTGACGTAGTGCTGTCATGCAGCACTTAAGGCAATGCACAGGGTTTTGTTGTTGTTGTTCTGTTTTTTGTATTATCATCATCACCCCATCAACTAAAACGAAATATCATCCACAGAAAATAACAACAGCTCTGTCATCATCATTATCAGTATACATAGCTGCAATGCCATAAAAGTTTCTCAGAAGTAGAAGAGGACTGTTCAGATCACAGTGGTTGTATCAGTCACTCTCCCTCTGTGGACTGCAGAGGAGAAGAACTGAGCTTAAGTGCAAAGATCTTCTGTAAGAAGTTGCGTCTTTAGCTTTTTTAAGGGACTCTGCAGATCTAACAGAGTTGGGTAATTCATTCTACCACCATTTATAAATTGGAACTTTCATTGAAAGGATGGATTTTTTACTTTCCACATCTTAATAACATGACTGCTTGCATGCACCTCATCCAAAGTTTTCTGCTTAATGTATCTGGCCGTAGCAATATAATGACACAGAAATAGCACTGGTCTTATAATGTAGAAGTTTTTTTCAAAACCAACCAAAAATTAGGCTTTTATCATGCTAATTCTTTGTTAATTCAGTGTTAATCTTGTCCAACAGCGCACTGCCATCAGTTACCCACCTGCTCAAAGCATGTGCAACTCACTTGTGTCTCATGATAGTTTTGTGACTTTATTTTGTGTAGACACTTCCTCTCTCAAGTCTTTTGTAATTACCAATCCTCTTCTATGTCTAAATTACTATTGACTTTCCACTGACATTTATCACACAAACTTAAATAAAAGTAATTTGTTAGGGTTAATGAGAGCAGCACAAAATTTGAGAAATGATTGATTCGTACCAGATCATGCATTTTAGTCCGTCTTTCACTGCTGTGTAACCACAGAAATCTCAGTGCTTGTGTTCATTTCAAACTTGTAGTTTTTACTCAACTGTATTTGTGCTGCAAAAAAAGTGAAACTCTGAAATCAGCACCCACCCTTCAACAAAAATAGTATTGTCTCTTTAACTTATCTCTCCACTTTGACCCGACAAGACTGTCTGTGTCTGCTTTTCCATTCCCAAAATAAGACATGGGTAACCAGGGCAACAGCCATAAGCCTCATCCTTCTTTTTCAGTTTTGTTTTTGATCCATATTTGTAATTATAGCACCCAAAGACGTGTGACTGCGGCCAAAGACATTGTATGGTAGAGATTGTCTCAGTTTAGTCTTAAGAATTGCATTTCTCAAGAACAAAAGATTTATGTTTAAAGCAAAAATTTCCTAAATCTTCCTTATGGAGATTAGGACGCAACAAATGCATTCTCAAAGTGTCCTTGAGCTTGTTTTTGTCTTTGAGCATGAAAAGGATAAAAATCAAAAGTAACCGACTCAAACTCAATATATAGAAAGACAACATGTTTGCAGGAAGAATTGAGGTTAAACTCTGAACCGGTTAGCCGTAGGAATGACTGTGAAAGTTAAAAGCTGCACACCATCAAGCAGAGAAAAGCACAAAAGAATCTGTATCCACATACATTTGAGTAGATGAATATAAAAAAATCCGGGGCCAAAGAAAAAAATGTCTGAGGAAAGAGCATCAAAAGACACATCGTCTGTAATTACGCTGAGTGCTGTGTTTTAAGACACTGAAAAAGAGTGGACGTGAATCATTCTAACCTCATGTTCAACATCTGCTGGTACTGTATCATAAAATATTCGAGTACACCAGCTACAAAATTAGTCCTTTTTGATTTTCTAGGTTTCTCGCAATATTGAGTCCTAAAAGGAAGACGGTTGGTGATTCAAAGAATTTCAGAGTTTATCCTGTATGGTAACTGTTTCTCTCGGCTTCTCAACTTTGTTCACCTTACTTGCAGGGAACAACCTGTTTTCTACTTTATTTTTTGTCTTCCTTAAATCACCTTATCAGAACTTTCGCAGAGCTTTAAGTAACAGTGCAGGAGCTTTTGCTAATAACCCAAAGGCTCTTTCTCTCTCTCTCTGTCTCTCTCTCTTTCTCTCCTGCTGGGAGCTATAAATAACTCTAACTTTATTTTACGATTCCTTGAATTAGAAATAAGTGATCTCAGGAGTAAATGTCATATTCCCTCAGTATGATCCATATGGCTCGGTCTCCATAACTTTGTGCAAACGAACGCCCCTCACTGTCAACACCTTTCTCTGCTCTCCATTCATCACTCTCACTACTCTCCCTTCTACCCTCATATCCCTGCTCTCTTCCCCTCCCACTGTCTCCAACACACCTCACTCCTCTACGTCTGCTCCAAGGGCTGAACCCTCTTCAAACAACTCAAGATGATTCATGACTTTAAATGACAATGCTAGCAATAAAACTGAGCCTGATAATACCTTATAGACACAGTGCATTTCATTAAGTCTTTAATACCATTTGAATGTAGGAATAGTATTAATTAGGTTCTGCAAGCTTACTTTGGCCCCACAGTTGACTGTCGTTACCCTGTGGTAATATCTATGAATAGGTAGGGGTTACAGGGGCCTCTGATGGAGACTTCAATGTTTTTCTAGAAGGAAATTCTGAGTATCTGTTTATCTAATTAGACATTTCAGTTTTACTTTGACAGCAACAGCTAAGAGACGAAAAAAGCAAAAAGAAACTCATTTACTCATCCAAAAATGAACTTTAAAATGCAGCCACCACACATCAATCATTGGAAAGAAAACTAATGAATAGGTTTATCTCAGAATTCATAATTAAAATTTAAATGTCAAACATATTGCTGCTGAGGGATGAATCAAGGTCAGTGAGTAAACTTAGTTAGGTCTCTATAAATACACACACACACACACACACGCACGCACACACACACACACACACACAAGTAGAGAACCTCTGAGCTCTCCATGCTTTATGATATTAGCCTATGAACAAACCACATATTCTTTTCTCCTCCTTCTTGTCATGTTTGTTTTACTATTTTTAGCTTACTGTCTGGTACCGGTCTGGTGCCATACTTATTGACCATGCTCAAATCATTGAAGAACACAGTTTGCATAAGACCAGACTACTGAATGACACAGATCACAGGAGTGCACACCAACTGTAACAAATCTCCCATGATATTATTCCAACTGTGGAAATTTGTGACCCCTTAAAAATGATTGAAAAAGTCGTTTGGTGTAGGACCAACTTAAACCGCAGCACATCCCTTTTTTGGGAACACATACTGTGTACCTGCTTTGACCCAGTCTTGAACATCAGAGCAACCAAAAATAGAAAGAAAATATAGGAAGTCCTCAAGTGCGAGAGGTGGAGTGTGTACCAATGGAAATATTCAGAGGTGTGATATGTGATGCTCAATTTGTCAAGTTTCTTCCATAAATGTAAATTGTTTGCACACAGTAATACCCTCTCTTTTCATTTTCATCCTCCAACTGGTGTATTTCAGACAGCCACTCGAAATACAAAATCACAAATGTTTATAGTTTGTCTATATTGTGTTACACCCTGCCTAGTTTATGCCACTGTGCCCGACCTACATGGTACCTACATCATCTTCAGCCCACATACTTCTGCCTAGGAGAGTCCACATTGCTCTGCAGTACATTAATAAAATGCTCATTCGTGTGATGTCAAGGAGGTGTTCCCTTCTCGTTTGTGTACAGGAAACCATAGCAGCTCAATCCAATTATAATATGAGTCGAAGCAGATAAATGTTGTGTAACTGTTGTGTGGTGGGATGAGGAGGTATCATACGAGTAATCCCTCAACCACTTCTTGTCAATGTCTGTGTGAGTGACAAGAATGTAAATCAAGTGAAATGTAC